CTACTCTAAACAAGCCTATATCCACCAACGTCTCCCCTCTCGGTTCTACACGTTGATTAATTAGGTTAGAAAGGTGATCAATCTACTAACCCTAGAATAAACACAACTTGAATAGATATGAACAATCAAGAACAAGCAATTATTATTGAACCTAATCAATCATCCCCTATCCCTAGCGTATGGATTTAGCTACTCATATGAAATTCAACATAAAAACTCATAAAAACCCAAGCCATCATCATCAATCACACAATTGAGAAGGAAAAACTTACGATTAATAATGATAGTTCAATGTTGAATCCAAAAACATCCAATCCAAAGCAAGGAAAATAGAGTTTTGATCTCCAAAATCAATCCAAAATAGCAAAAGCATGAAAATGAATGAGTTTCTAGAGAGAAAAGTCAAAAAACGAAGTCTGGAACGTGAATAATGATGTCTAGGTCGAAATTCTAAACTTAAAATCCCGTCCTCGAAAATCGCGCCGATCAAGTAGCGAGTCGCGACATCTCGCGAGTCGCGCGTCTTCGATAAACGTTTATTTTCTGGGGAAAGTCGCGACATGGATCGCGAGTCGCGACATCACCTCGCGAGTCGCGACATTGGCTCGCGAGTCGCGGCTCTCCTCGCGAACAGCTCCTTTTCGTCTCTGTTGGACTCGCGAGTCGCGACATTCTCGCGAGTCGCGACCATCTCGCGAGTTGCGATACTGTCTCGCGAGTCGCGAGAAGTCCTGGGCAGCTCTTCAATCCGTTTTTTCGGTCCTTCCTTCAGAATTCTGGGCCCGTCAATGGGTATCCTTGATATCCCGGCCTAAGCTCAAGTAGTCTCGTCCTCGATCCACACAACCTACCTCTTGAAAACACAAACACGAAGAAAATACGAAGCAAAACACAACAAAAAAGACGCACAAAACGATCTAAAGAGAAAAACGGAAAAATCACAGAATTGGACCAAATAAACTACGAAAATCCTATTAGTGGGGAAAATAAAGAGAAAATAAACTCAAAATAAAGACACAAAAATGGGACAAACAGACTCGCTGTAGAACTCCCCTGCGCACCGGTGCATCAGGAGGCCTCCGTTGGACATGTCCGAACCACCTCAGCCGATGTTGAAACAATTTCTTCTCAATTGGGGCCACCCCGACCCTATCACGAATATCCTCATTTCAGATTCTATCTCTTCTTGTGTGCCCGCAAAACCAACGCAACATCCGCATCTCTGCTACACTTAGTTGTTGGACATGTTGCCTTTTTGTAGGCCAACATTCAGCACCGTATAGCATCGCCGGGCGAATCGCCGTCCTATAGAACTTACCTTTTAGCTTTTGTGGCACCCTCTTATCACAGAGAACGCCCGAAGCTTGACGCCATTTCAACCAACCGGCTGCAATTCAAGGTGAAGTGTGAATTCGATTTGGTCAAGACAATCACTAGAACAATTAAACTACATATGAAGTTGCAAGCAATTCGAGTAACTGAAAATAAATTTGCTGTTGAATATAAAAAACTAGTTGAAAATTTTGTTTCGTGATGAGAAAATGAGAATAAATAATTTATTTTGAATTCGTGTTTTTTCATTGTTTTTCTAATTCATTACTTTTTTAAATAGACATGTTTTATGTAATTTTGCACAATTTAAATTTTATAGGTAAACTGCATTACTTGTATATTTCATCATTCAAATATATATATATATATATATAGAGTTGGGATCATATGAGAATGGTAGATAATGAAAGAAATAAGAATGATCATGAACCATTGGATCAATTACATCAATGGTCATTATAATGTCAAAATTAAATTATAATGGTAAAACCTGCATGGCAGAATTGTAATTACATTGCCATTTTATGGACAAATAAATAGTGTGGAGGGCATTAGTGTAATATTTAACATAAATTTACGTGGACCCCACCTATTACTATTGCCAATTAATCTCTCTCACCTCTCACTCCTCTCTCCTCTCTATTCTCTCACGTCAATTGTTCACAGATTCTGCTACGTCTCCATTGTAGCCGGCGGCCCCGACCTTCCACCACCAAACCGCCGCAGCCACAGCTCTGACCGCCCCCGTCGCCACCTCCGGTCACAGCATCCGACACCTGCTTCACTAAGGCATGTCCGACGACTGTCTCTCCTCTCGACCACACACAGTCACCACCATCTCCATTGTAGCCGCCGGCCCCGACCCTACAGACCACGCAGTCGCCGTCAGAAAATCTGGAAACGCCGCTGAATTCGAGAACCTCGTCGGAGTTGGCCCTCTCATTTCCGCCCCCCCTCTTAATCCGCTGAGAAATTCAGTTATGAGTTCTCAAGCTTATGTATGTCTCGTGGTTGTTCTCCTGCGGCGTATAACCGGTCGTCGGGGAGCTAGGATTAAGCAGCAGGTGGTTGTTGGCCATGCCTGTAATGTGAAGAGGTGTTTGTGAGTTGGGGCTTCTATTTGAGAATTAGATATATCCAAAGGGCTTAATTGCAATTTTAAATTTTTTTAATATATCTCAATTTGATACATGGGCTAAATGCATAATTTATATAAATATGTTAAAGTGCAACTCGTCTAATGTTAAGGTTCAAGTAGATAGTCGTTAAGGTGCAATTCGACTAACGTTATTGTGCAAGCGCATTACACAATAATAATAATAATAATAATAATAATAATAATAATAATAATAATAATAATAATAATAATAATAATAATAATAATAATAATATATTTCATTTTTGGTTATTTCGTTTTTTTTTAAATTGCCACCGAACCATAACCGAGCTTTTAAAAATAAAAAATTCGATCAAAAATTGTTATTAGATATTGTGCAATACGATAGACAATAACGTTCAATACGCCTAACACTAATGTGCAATATGTATAACGTTATTATTTAGATGAATTAGATCGGTCAATTGAATTATCTAAATAATATATGAATTTTAAATATATATAACTTTTATATTCTTTTTTAATAATATTATTATTTTAATATTATTTTTTAATATTTAATAATATATATGAAAATTTTATTTGTAATATATATATATAAATATAAACAAAAAAAGTCTGGTAATAATTTTTCGTAGTTCGGCGTGTTGGTTTATTTTTGTTTATTTAAAAAAACTAAATCTAATATTGAACAACTAATTTTGTTCGATCGATTAGCATAATAACTATAATTTTGATACGTGCAACGTGTTGTGTCATAAAGTGCAACGTGCACTTTATTGTGACATAATGTGAAATCGTTGATATATATTGTGCAGTATTGAAATTTTGATACGTTTGCATGTTTGTGTCTTTTGTGAATATATTATGTGATGAATATTGAAGTATTATGTCGGTCTTTTTAGATTTATATTGTGGAATATTTTTTGTGGGAGCTGTTGACATTAATTGTGGAGTGTGGTGATAAAGTGCAACGGGTTGTTTTATAAAGTGTAACATTCCGCTATATAAAGTGCACCAATTTATAGCTTTTCCGATAAATTATGTGTACTCGGAAATTAGTTTTTATTGATATAATTGTATATAAAATTAACCTAAATAATTAAAATATATTTTTATTAATATTCTTTGTTGTATAATTTATTTTTATATTATTTATTAGTAATAATACAAACCAAATATCATGTTCACGTGAGCTATTATTACTGTTATTAATTTCGTAACATGTTCCCCTATAATGCAAACCAAATAGCATTTTCACGAGGTTAATATTTTTTTATTATTATTATTATTTATGCAAAAAGAAAAACAATTATCATTTCTATATGTGATCATAACACGAATATAACGAAAATGGTGAAGGGCCGGGGATGAAATTGGGCATGCTCAGAACTCAGAAGGTAATTTATTATTTAATGTCTATGCACAGCAAAAATATAAAAAAATAATTTTTTATTAATTTTCAATAATTACAATTTGATTCATGGTTAAATTGAAATATAATTAAAATTATTAAAATTGCAAATAATTCCTTATACATAATCTAATTCTCAAAAAAAGGCCCAACCCGCAATTCAATTTCAAATTTCAAATTACAGAATTTTCCCGACCGGAGCCTCTATTCTCCACCGCCGTTCTGACCGCCTAAATTACGGTTACAAAACGGTGTCCGCCATGGCCGTCCAGAGCTACCGGAGCTTTCATGTCCGACCACCATGACGGAAAGTCTTCCTCCAGACTGACCACCGGGAGCTTCTTCAGATGCCGGAGATCATGTTTCACTGCCCAGGATGCCCGATGTCGAGCTGCCCAGTATTATCGGCGGATGGTGTTGCTTCTGTCGTGGGTGGAGAAAAAGTTGCACGACGGTGACGGCGGCACCGTTAAGAGCTGCGGTGGGCGGTGGTGGGGCCACAGACGGACGACCGTCGAGCTCCCGGTGGTGGCGGCTAGTCAAAGGCTTCTGTTCGCCGGCATCGGTGGTGCGTGTCGGTAGCCGGGTTGCGACGTCGGGTTCACAGAAACTCCGGCGGCCGGAGAAGGCATGAGTTGACGACCGACGGACATGGTTGTTGAGGGAGAGAGCGAGATATCGTGGGGAGGGATTATTGAATTGGTGGCGGGACCCACTGATTAACTATTAATTAGTGTTTGTAGATAGGATTAGGTGGCAGGTATGTTAAAGTTAAATGAGGCCCACCTATTGAGTGTATTGTGAAAAATTACTGCAATACCCTTAATAAGGTAATTTTTTGTTTTTTTATAAGCTGTTAGATCATGCGATCTAAGGGATATGGTGTATTCTCATTTCTTTCATTGAGAACCATTCTCATGTGAACCAACCCTATATATATATATATATATATATATATATATATTATATAAATGAGCATTTTTAATTTATAAATATTATTGAATATTTGCATTTCATACGGGTAATTTTTGGTAGGGATATATTTATTAATTATTATTATTGAGGATAGTAATTAGTAATAACTAGGGTATGAAAGAATCCGCCTCCATCTGATCATTGGCCAACAAATCCATCGCGATGTTTAGCCTCGGATCCCCGGCCACCGCTGCCTTCTCTCGAACTATGTTCCTTCTCAATTCGGCTAAACACACCACAGCCAGATTCTCGACCAACATTCATTGCCACCGGCAACCGCCCTGGCTTATGCTGCCACCGACCTTCGACTCGGGCAAAAACATGGTCCACAACTTTTACGTCCTCGGAGAGAACCAGGTCATGACTATGAGCCTCGGAAACGGAGATGAGGATGAGGATGAGTATCAGGATGAGAATGAGGAGGATGAAGAGGATGAAGAGGATGAAGACGAAGACGAACTCGTGATGTTATGGCCTGACCACAATTGTAAGGCCCTCGGTTCCTCCCACGGTTGGCTCACCTTTCTCCACACCCAAACCAACCACGTATTACTCTATGATCCCGTCTTGACCTTCCACTTGCAGTTTCCGCCCCTCCCCGGCGCCGGCGGCCACATTACCAGTGTCACCGTCGACCCTTCTCCCAATGACTTAAGCCATTTCCGTGCTGTCGCCACTTTTGGTCCCCATAACAGGCTGGCCTTCTGCGCTCCTATTAGCCTAGACGACAACCGTAAGGTCAAGTGGGTCCCTCTCGGCCTAGGGAGTGGCTATGCTTCGGTGGTTTACTCTAAACAGCGCGGGCTCTTCTTCTGCTGTACCAAGGCTGGCCTTCAGGCTTGGGACCTCAGGGACCCGCTGATCCCTGAAATGACGCCATTGCCCCTCTCCTTGGATAACAAATCAAATTATCAGATTTCCTCCGAGCAGGTGCGCCACTACGATTTCCTTGCGGTCGCCAAGCCTTCTGGAGATCTCTTCCACGTGAGGCGGTTTGTGGCCGCTCGTTCGGGACCACGTGGTTACGGTGGGCCGAGCCTGGGTTTCGATCACGGTGCACCGTACAGGACTCTCGGTTTCGATATTCATAGGTACGACCCGAACACTGGCTCGCTCGTGTACATGGACAGCTCACTGGACGGGCTTGTGCTTTTCGTCGGGAGCAACAATGGGCTTGCGATTCCTGCGGATCAGTACCCTGAGCTGATGCCCGACTCCGTTTACTACACAGAGCCACCAGAGTGGATCGACTGGAGCTACGGTGGGCATGACGTTGGCATCTTCAATAATCGAGACAAGACTTTTTCTCCCTGTTTTTATCCTGTCGACGTGCAGAGCAAGAGAAGAGTTAGTGGACTCAAGTGGTTCACACCGAGCCCGATTTCGAGGCGTACGTTCCTCGTGCAAAACAACGATGGTTCTATGACTATTACTCCCAAGCTTCCCAAGTAAGCCAACGGAAGAGTGTGACGTGTCTGAGTATATATATATAGGACTCGACTTGGATATATACAAGTTAGTTTAGTTTGTGTTTCGCTTTGCTTGCTGAGACTTCTGCTGCTTTATTACTCTATGTTTCCCTTGTTTAGACTTGTACGATTGTTAACAACTGAATTTTCTTTTTTATTATTATTTCATAAATACATATTATTATGGTAAAACATCCATCAAAGTTTTGTATAACACAAGCAACTAAAGCAATGGGACAGACCACGTCAATGTATGGCTTCAGCTGACGATGATTCACTACTCATTATAAGGAAGCAAGGTTCCGAACTGTCACCCTGCTCATTTGTCATTAAAGAGACAAATTTCACAAATATTTCCGTCAAAGCAACAAGGGCATTGAAAATGCTGAATCTATAGTGCCTTTCTAATTTATTTATTATTATTATTATTTTTTTTTCCGGCAATGATTTGAATTTTAACTAGAACACATTATTACATCTAGAAATCGGACAGGAGTCGAACGTAGTACGAAGACACCCTTGAGGGAGTTTAACACCAGAATACACCCACGATAATAAAAGAATAAAAGAACGAAAGAGAAACACAGAAAAAAATACAAAAACCAATTAAAGCTCTTCCCAGAGCCGAACAAACCCCAAACAACCTCGACAACAACATCACGGTCCACCACTGAAAAAAGCTGATCCGTGGCCCAAATTTCAACACAGAAACTGCCACACATGCCTAATTAGAGCCGAAACCCTAGACCCCAAACCTGCGCCTTAGCAGTCGACCCCAACCCATCAACTTTTTGTCGAGTGTGCCATACCCACAGGTAGTGAACTAAGGTGAAGCCCGACTCGATTTATTACACAGAGCCACTAGATTGGATCGACTTGAGCTACGGTGGGCATGACTTTGGCATTTTTAATAATCGAGACAAGACTTTTTCTCCATGTTTTTATCCTCCTGATGTGCAGAGCAAGAAAAGGGCTAGTGGAGTCAATTGGTTCACGCCGAGATCAATTTCGAGGTGCTCATGCAAAACGATGATGGTACTATGACGATTACTCCCAAACATCCAAAGTAAGCAAATGGAAGAATGTTTCCGATATATATATATATATATATA